CCTTCTTTATCTTGTTCAGAAGAAAGAGATCTGAGAAAAGACTGAATCCACGGTTTGTCTATAGGCTCAGGAGTCACCCCAACACCACAGGCTCTCAAATTGCTCTGGATTGTTTTACAGAGCCCCAGACTGGGGATTCTACACCAGGGATTCTTCTTGGGTGGAGAGGATAAAATCCAGTGCGACTTTACCAACTCAAGTGCTGGGAAGGAGTCATAAAACGTGTACGCCTAGAACCCTCTGTTTCTAAAGATGAGATCTGCCCAACCTCTGAAAAAGGAATGAAATCAGTTTACAAAACAGGTTTTGATCTTGCAAATGGGACAAGATTAGGAGAGAATGGAATAAAGTGAAGGAAAGCACACCAAGGAGGAGAAGAAAATTTGAAATCATATTAGCCCAGCTAGAAATCTATGACAAGGAAAAGGAGCTATATCTAAACAAAACTGCTCTAAAGAGATTAGAAAAGCAGAAATATTTACTAGGTCAGGGAAATGGCTGAAAATCATCAAAGAGAAGAATAAAGGGACTATTTTGGAGAACAAACTAAAATGACTCCCCTAAAAGGGTACCCAGAGTCAGGTATTATTCTATCAAAAAGGATCCTCTTACAGTTTTAAATAGGGAACCCAGAGTAGGCATTAATGGAGAACTCTTTAATAACTGGAGTTGTGGTGCTATGTAGTTACAGAAAATGTGGACATATTTAAAAAGAGAAATACTAGAAGGATCAGTGCAGAATTCTTCACATATCATTAAATGAATTCCAAGGTGGCATTGTTCTTAAAGATGAAACAGAGGGTATAGCCCAGGCTATAAGGAAGCCTGCCTGGGAAATGCAAGGATTTAGAATTTGAAAAGAAGGAACAGAAAAGCAGAGAAATGTTAAGGAGGATCCAGAGAGCATGACCCTTGATCAGGGCTGAGGTTATAGGCTAAACTGAATAAAAATAAATACCTCCTAACAAAAGGGAAGGTTGGCAGAATTTACCTGAACACTGGGTGAACCGTGGCACCATTCTTGCTCTATAGAGACCTCACAGGCAGAATCGAAAGTAATATGTTAGGAGAACAAAAATGTAAGTATGAAAACAAAAAGCAAATACAGAGAAGGAAAGTACTAAGACCGAGCAAAAGGTATTAGCCAGGCCTGGGGAGGAAGGAGGAGCAGAAACAGCTGGCATGGAAGGTTGAAAGCTTACTACTCAGCTGGCCTGCCGGAGCAGTAGGAATACTTAGAAGGACCTGGAACACTGGAGGATTCTCTCTCCCGATGCAGAAAAGGAAATGGTGGCAGGAAAGAATGCTTCAGTTCCCATCAAAGAAGCACAGGCAGTTCAAGTCTCAGAAATTCAGTTCTAAGGAAAGGTGGGGCTTGGGTGAAAAACCACTAAAACTAGGGGACTTCCCAGACCTCATTAGACCAGTGAAAACACAGGTTCCAGAAACTCAACAGCAGCTCAAGGATCAGCTGAGGGTGATACTCCAGGGAAGACAAGGGAAACCTCCTAACCAGGAAGCAGGACTCAGAAGCAAGGCATTCAATAATAGGAAGCCACGCCACTCAGAATTAAAGCAATACTTAGGATCTTTCTGGGGATAGAGAAATTCCGAGAAAACAGCAGGAAACTGGGAGTGTGAAGGAGGCAGGCAGGCAAGACAATGCACTTCTTTTTTTTTTTTTTTTTAGTTAAATGTGAGCTTATTGAAGTACTTTTCTCCCCATTTGGTATGTTCCCTCCTTTTTTTTTTGTTGTGGTATAATTAATTTACAATGTTGTGTTAGTTTCAAGTGTACGATTCAAGTATGCAATTTTACATATATATCTATTCTTTTTCAGATTCTTTCCCATTATAGGTTATTACAAGATATTGAGTACAGTTCCCTGTGCTATACAGTAGGTCCTTGTTGTTTATCTACCTTATATACAGTAGTGTGTATAGGTTAATCCCCAACTCCTAATTTATCTCTCCCCCTGCCCCCCAGCTATCCACCCCCCCCAGCAACCATAAGTTTGTTTTCCATGTCTGTGAGTCCATTTCTGTTTAAGACAGTGCATTTCACTTGAAGAGCTTCCTACTATAAATATGTGATGTCCTGCTCACAAAGAAAGGAGGCTCTTTCACTGCACAGATCAAGATCTTCAGCAATGGTGGAGGGTAGGTAGAAAAAGGGCTCAAAGGAGACATGAAAATAAAAGGTTCTAAATACTCGGGATAGACACCAAGAAAGACCTGGAACCACCATTGGCAAAGTTCCAAAATTTTCAAAAAGCGTAGATTTCCTTCCCCGACAACAGATGGGAAGCCTGGTGTCAGACTGAATCCAATAACCTCAAGAGAAGAGATTTCCCAAATTAAGTTGAAATTCACAGGGGGTGGACTTCAGACAGCAGAGTAACCTATAGAGGCCGTCACATCACATGCTAGATTATACGCACTACTGATAATCTCGGGTCCACATTGCAAAGGAGGAGGTAACAATAGTCTCACTTTCTGAACTTGACACCATGCCCCCCTCGTTATACTGAAGCTAAGACTTCATCTCCCACCACTTTCTCCAGCTCACTCTGCTCCAGCCACGCTGGCTCCCTTGATGTTTCCAGAACACGCCAAGGACATGCCTGTCATTTGGTGTTCCCCCTCACTTCCTTCAGACCTGTGCTTACATGTCTCTTTATAATAGAGGCCTTCCCTGACCATCAACTGACACTCCCTTGGCCAAGCTTTATTCTTCATCTTACCACTTAGCCCCACCCAACATATATTTCCTTACTTGTTTATCTCTCTCCTCTCCAACCTCCTGACTCCAACCCCATGACAGCTGAGTCTGTTTTATTGCTGCTACCTTGTCAGCTATCAGAACCTGCCTGACACACAGTAGATAAGAAATGAACACTTATTAAACGAATGCATTTACACATCCATGGCATTTGAAGTTTTTGCTCATGGTCCAAGGTTGAAAAAAGCAAGGTGGGTCCAGACTGACTTACGCACTAGGTTCTAGGAACAAAATTTTCCTTTTTTTCTTTTTAAGCACTAAATATTTAGTAAAAAGCAGTAGATGTACTGATTAAAAATGAGGGCCCTGGAGCCAGAATGCCTGTATTCAAATCCCAGTTGTACATCTCACTCTGTGTGATCTTGGGCAAGTTGCTTAACTTCTCTGTGCCTCATGATCCTTAATCTGTAAAATGGGAATAAAATAATGCCTTCCTCAAAAGGTTGGGTAGGTTTGGATTGACCGAAGGATAGCGCTTTGAAAAATTCCTGGACATCCTCCGTGCTCAATAAACAAAGCCGGTATTGTCATCATCATTATGTACTAGGAACCGTTCTAAACATATTACTTGCAGTACGTCACGTACGAATCACTCAGAAGGTAACTGAGGCCCAGGTGCAAGAAGAACGTATCTAAGCCATTGGCTTTTCTTTTTTAATGGAGATGAAATTCACACAACATAAAATTAACCACTTTAAAGTATACAATTCAGTGATGTTTAGTACATTCACAGTGTTGTATAACTATCACATAACTTTGCTTTTCTAAGTTTTGTATCTCTGGGACTCATGTTGAGAAATGGGACAATGAAACTTGGAACAAGATTAATTCAACTTTGGAGGTACCTAAGAAGTAACATCTACTACAAAAAAAAAGATTTATAGGATGTAACAGTTAGAACACACTCGCTGTCTCAGGGAGGCCACTCTAATGGAGGCTTGGCAGAGAAGGCACTGGGGAGGAAAGAACCTGGGACGTGAACCTGGGACGTGAACCTTTACACGTTAATTTACAGGGAGAGGTGGGTGTTATTTTTAGACTTTAATTTCTCTGAGGATTTAATAATTGGAGGAAATGCATATTCAAATTGTGAGCATTATTCTGTAGCCAGAAATGTATGTGGGGGCTAGGTTTATGCTGTCAGTAGGTCTTCATCGTGCAACCTCTGCTGATACAAGGCACAATCTGAGATGAAAAATCCAATAAAGAGTGAATTTTCAGCCTCCGGTGCTGCATGGCCCTCATTTGTGTCTACTGCATTTCAGAGCCTTCCAAGTACAAAGACCAACGTGCCCACTACTGACCCACAAAGATCAGTCGGTGAACAGGATAAAGGCCTCAGGAAGGTAGGAGCGAGACCTATCTTATTCTACTGTGTTCTTTCAATGGTTGCCCAGAAATTTGTCCATTAAACCCAACTGATGAGGGACTTCCCTGGTGGCACAGTGGTTAAGACGCCATGTTCCCAACGCAGGGGGCCCACGTTCCATTCCTGGTCAGGGAGCTAGATCCCACATGCATGCAGCAACTAAGAGTTCGCGTGCCACAACTAAGGAGCCCGTGAGCCACAACTAAGACCCAGCACAACCAAATAAATAAATAAATATTTTTTTTTAAAAAAGCAACCCAACTGATGAAAGAACAAAAGAAATGGTAGAGACTTCTGCATCCCTCCCCACCAGGGAGGGCTGTGGAGTTGACACAGCCGCCTCTATTTGGCTTCCTTGCAAGCAACAGAAGGAGCCTGACCTGCTTTAGGTCACTGTTCTCTGTGTCGGGTTAATGTGCTCGTACGGCGCTGTCAGGTGGCCTCCTTGTCCTACCCATGTCCAACACACTGCAGCTCACATTTCTGATCTCCTGGAAGTTAGTTCTAGTTGCCCATAATGACTACCCTTAGGGTTCAGCTGTCTTAAATTGGAAGTGAGAGATAGGAAGCCTTACAGTATTCTCAATCCATCACTCCTAGGAATTCCTGAGTAAAGCAGTCCACTCCTGGTCTGTACCGTCTCTGAGCCTGAACCCAAGTGGGAAAGGGGAGAGGTGGTAAGATTCAGGGACACTGTGCCCCAGAAAACATTGGCAGTTTGTTAGAACTAGAACCCAGGTCTCTTGACTCTGAGACTATCATTCTTTATGCTGCCCCATGTTGTACAGTTCAATACACATATTTAACTTGTTGTCTTAAGATACCAAACAGAAAGACATCTACACCCACCTGCTGGTGCGGTTGTCATTGTTATTTGCACTGAGTGCTGCTCGGGAGATCCCAGGAGGGTGACATTCACTGTGTACTCAGTTGCTGGATACAGATCTAAACACACCACTGCAGTTTGTTCCCTCGTTGTGAAGTTAAATGATGTTGCGTGATAAAAATTATTCAGATACCGCCTTTGACCTAGAACTTTAAACTGTCGTGAGATTAAAAGAAAGTGATGCATTAAGTTCATTTGGCTTGCAGATGTCTAGACTATAAGCAAAATGGAAAGAAAGCAGGAAGGTTCCTTCTACTTGTCCTCACCCACACAGAATTATTTTTAATACAATAGCATGCTAAACTGGACAAGAACTTTACAAAGCTACCCTACGTACCCTATTCAACCTCCCTCTCAACCAGCTATAAGACTAAGCTTAAAATGCATAACTACATCTCAGATGGACAAAGTGTCAGGCTATTCTAAAGTAACCCCTTGAGCCTTCCCAGGTGAAGGAGACTGTACTGGAGTTACTGGGAAAAATTCTTTTCATTTTTTTTCATTCATAAGGAATCCACAGACAAGCCTCATGGAACAGACTTTTTACACTGTATGAGGACTACCCCAAATTATGCATGCAAAGCAACTGAGTCATGGTACTTCACTGGAGCCTTCCTATCAGAGTTCTAGAAAACAGTTCTTGGTCCACAGAGTCATCACACACACTGGTAACCCAATAGTGCTCTAACCACTGCCAACTCAAGATGTATGTATAATATAGGGATTTGTAAGAGAAAAAACAAACAAACATGTGAAGGTCCTATAAGTAGTATGATCATCCCTTGATCAATCAATGTGTTTTAGCTGGATGTACATGTTTTTAGTGTTTCCTTTGATGCTTGTGTCATTGGCTATTCTACTCTCTACCCTTCCTCATCACTGTCATTCTTCCACAGACATCCAAGACCCTGGCTCATTTGGGAGATTCCTCTCTCCCCCAATTCCTAGCATTCTCTTGGGTAACATAAAGGTCCTTATAGGTAAGCCATCAAAACTTGGCCTCAGAGTTGCTTGGGTTCAGTGCTGTGAAGTTCCCCCACTCTGCTTCAGCTTCCCACATCCACTGCCACATCCTTGACTGTCATCCTCTGAGCTGCTCCAAGATCTCACAATCCCTTGTTCTTCTGGACCACTCATTCCCACTCAGTCTGATCTCTCTCAGGATATCCCCCAAGATTTCGCCACTCAAGATTTTCTACCACTATTTTAACACCCCCATCCTCATCTTCCCACCTATCTTGGATACCATTGTCTATCACTTCCACCATTCTCTTTGCCTGATACCCTCAACACACTTGCCGCTTTGTTCTCAATTTCACCCATTCTTGAAAACTCAAAGCCCTGGGCCAATCCAGATGTTTGACTTCACCACTTCTGCATTCAGACTGCTGCCCTCTGCTGGAGAAAAACCTCACAACTATGGAGGCTGCATTTCTATACAAAGTCAGTCTCATCCTAAACTACACGTAGTTCAGTCTATAAACGAAAAATTACTTTCTAGTTAACGAAATTTGGATCACACTCTCTGTAGATTTTATAATATAGTCCTTTTACTTAAAAACATATTAGAAAGTTTTTCTCTATCATTAATTCATTCTATAAATAGACAGACTGCCTATTATTTACCAGCCAGAGTATACAGTGTTGGTTATACAATAGTAAATAAGATACAGGTCCTAACCTCAAGGAACTCACAGGTAAGTATCTAGGCAAATAAAATACCCAGGGAATAAGTGTTATAATACATGAAGCTGGAGGAGTACCTGAAGCTGGAGGATCAGGGAAGGTTTCCTCATCTTAATTGTGGACCGAAAGAGAAATTAGCATTAACCAGGTGAGTTGGGGATGTGAAAAGTAAGGGTAGGAAAAACAATTCAGAGCAGGGACAGCGTTTGGGGGAGGAGGTCAGTGAAGGCCTCCCACCAGGGAGATGACTGAGCTGAGCACTGAAGGATGAGTAGGAGTTATCCAGGTAAAGGAGGGAAGGGCTTTGCAGGTAGGAGAGTCACCTATGTGAAGACACAGTGCTAAAGGGAGCACAGGAGCCTTTTGGGGGGTACAGGGCCCAGAGCTTAGAGAGCAGATTAGCCCTAAAGAAATCGATTTAGGAGTCTTCAGCATGGAGATGGTCAAGAGAATGGGTAAGACAACCAAAGACGGGTATAGAATGACAAGAGAACAGGGAAGGCACAACCTTGGGGGTAATCAGATTTAACTTGTGAAAGAGACTGAGAAGGCTCAGACCAACAGGAGAAAAAGAGATCATTTCAATGGGAATATTGGTCCACAGCAACAAATGTTGTCCAGTGGGAAGCAGAAGGTATTTCATGTCTGCATAGTGTTCTATCCAATAAATGTATGATTATTTATTTAACCAAATCCCTATTGATGGACACTTGTTTCCAATTTCCCCTATTATAAATAAAGCTTCGGAGAACAGTTTAATCTTTCTGTGTATGTTTGAATAATTAATTATAGTACACTTGTGGAAGTTTATGGATCCTAACAAATAACTATTCCAGAAAAGTCATGCCAATTTAAGGGCCCACGGCTGTGTGTAGTAATACTTTCTCCAGGTTTACAGAAAAATCATGGTGTCTCATGATTTAAAAATTCTTTTCATGTGTGTATTCATGTGTGTTTTGGCAGTATCTATATTCTCTTTTGCAAGCTGCCTTTGAATGTTCACTTCCTTCCAATGGATTTGTTAAGAGTGTTTCACATGTTACTTAAATTAACCTTCGTCTAACATATTAAAAAATAGCAATTTTTTTTCAGTTGAACTCTTTAATCATTTTAGTGTAGGACATGAAGTGAGAATCATTTATCTTCTTAACCAAGTAGTTAACCAGTTGTCCCAGAACCATTTATTTCTGTACCCATTCGAAAAATCATCTTTGTTTTATATTAAGTTATTTGGGTACCTGAATATATTTCTAGGTCCAGTGTTCTTTCCAATATTAAAATTTGAATATTTCACTCACCTGCTTAAAATTCTCCATTGCCTCCATATAGACATAAAAAATAAGATCCAAGTTTAAAAGTACGGGATACAGGGATGATCACTATTCAGATTTTTGCCTCATCTCCTCCTACTCCCCCTTGCTTTCTCTGTTCCCCAAGAAAGCCACATTCTCAATTATCCAATAAGCTACTCGACTTGTCCACACTGCCCTTCTTCAGCTCATCCAACATCTTTTATCTGGTTAATTCCTACTTACTGTTTATGACTCTGCAATGTTTTTGCTTCTTGTTAAAAAAATTATACCTGGACATGGGGACTTCCCTGGTGGTCCAGTGGTTAAGACTCTGCGCTCCCAATGCAGGGGGCCCAGGTTTGATCCCTGGTCAGGGAACTAGATCCTGCATGCTGCAACTAAGACTCAGCGCAGCCAAATAAATATATTTTTAAAAAAATTGTACCCGGACATATATACACATACATACAGTCTCCTATTCCATTTATTTACTTTTTATCAAAGCTCTCATTACACCATATTGTAGTTGTCTGTTTACTTGTATGTTTATATTAGTTCGAATAGAACTTCCAGGTCCTAATACATGATACTCTTTTGGTAAATGGCTAATGAATTAATTCTAATTTAATACTTACTTAGTCTACTCTCTGTCAGATGATTTGCTAGGCACTAAAAATGATACAAAAATAATAAATTTCAGTTCCTGCCTGAATATACTTATAATTGTACTTGAGATTTGTGATGTTTATAAATTCAAGTTAAGTGAGGACCAAGAGCCCTGCAATAAGTTTCTTAAAAACCCACATCCGAGTGTGAATTTGATGACAAAATAAGCTGCAACTATAAATGAACCAAAATAAAATATAAGCCATGTGAAATAGCAGAGAAAATGAGAGCAAATCACCCAATAGTGTCTTCCTTCAATTTAGTCCCTCACTTGCAGCCATCTCACATCCATCTCTAGAAACAAAAATCAAACAATCTAGAAGTTCATTCCATTCGTGTTTTTAAATACTCTGGATCCCCACTTGGAGAGCACCCAAAGTTTTAAGTGACACAATTCATTAACGAATAGCACAAGAGATCTTCTTACTTGGTACATTCGTTCTGATCCAACTTTCCTAGAATGCCTGTTCAATTTCAAACAAGCTTCATTAAGTACTGAAATATTGAAAATCCTGTCATCTTCTAAGAGATCATCACCTAAAAGATAAGAGAGAACACAGGGAAAGGTTACATCTTCTTAGCAAAACATACCATGGCCAAGGACAACTGAAACTCCGAGAGCCAACAGAGTGTTTAACAGCAGAGGCATCAAATCTGGCTTCAAGTCCTAGCTCTACAACTTCTTAATTGCATGACCTTAGCTAAGTCACCTAACCCCTCTGAACCTCAGTTTCCTTATTTGTGGAATCAAGTAATCAGGTCTGCTTTTCTTATATCATAGGCCGTTGAATCAAATGAAATAATGCATATTTTAAAACTGTTGTAGGGCTTCCCTGGTGGCGCAGTGGTTGAGAGTCCGCCTGCCAATGCAGGGGACACGGGTTCATGCCCCGGTCCGGGAAGATCCCACGTGGTGCAGAGCAGCTGGGCCCGTGAGCCATGGCCACTGAGCCTGCGCATCCGGAGCCTGTGCTCCGCAACGGGAGAGGCCACAGCAGTGAGAGGCCCACGTACCGCAAAAAAACTGTTGTAAACTAACAAGGCTGTGAGATTTTTAGAGAGTTAATTCTATCACTTGGATGGTCCATAAGCAAAATGTCATGAAGGTAAGTATATCAATAGCCAGAAAGTCTGAGAATAAGGAAAAAGCTGAATAAAAGTCAAAGGTCAGGGATTAGAACTCTCAGAGCAGGTGTTTCCAACCTAGAAGATGACCAGAAAGTAGATGACCAGGCAAGATGTTTATTCTCACAGCAGACAGTATTTCAAGAGCTACTCAGATGAGGCAATGAAATAATCAGAGAGCTGATATATTTGCATTGCTATGTAGAAAAAAAGTCATTTCATGCCTCCTGCAGCCTAATTCATTCCTTTGATGTTCTATTTCCTTAATACAGGAAATGAAAAAAAAAGAAGAAGAAGAAGAAAAAATTTGTTACTAATGAATTAAAGAACCCACAGAGAGTCTAGTAGTACCATGGCTAATTTTCAAGGAAAAGCAAATTTCCTAACAAACAGGTCTGTGCATTTTCTACAAATGAGAAAAAGTTAAATGTCTACAGAGAGAAGCTTTTTATTACTATAAGATAGTTATATTTCTCCCACGGGCGTCTTTGCTACCTAAGAAGTAATAATGATAACAATAAATTATTCTACTCAAAATTGGAACTGTCCACAACATTTTAAATATCACTGACATAGGCAGCACCAGGCAATTAGCCGTGGGAGAAAATATTCTTGGTTAGCTATAACTGGAAAAGGTAAGATATGGTTATGAGAGAGAATTTGAAGACCTATCACAATGTGCTCTCCGTTATCTTCATAGCTTTCATTTTCAAGATTTCATAAGGACACCAGAAACAAAAATTTCCCCATGTACGCACATGATTTTGAGGTATACCAAATATATGTATGTGAGAAATACCACATATAGTTTATGTCTGTACACAAACAGAGCATAAAGCAGAAGTATTGTCTGCAGAGTTCCCATCTCAATATGATTTTCCCACTTATAGCCATTATAGTCTGAAAACAAAAGCATCTGGCTCCCACTTCCCACCTCCGAACCTGACAGAAGTGACTGCGAATAGTGAAAATGGGTCAAAATTTGCATCTGGGTTGGAAAGAAGGATTGACTGCCATCCATAAGGCAGAAACATGAAGATATTTCTGCTTAGCACAATGTGGAAGAGACTAGGTAAAGAAAGATGCTGAGAGCTCTAAGCAACATGCCTTCCAAGCAAAGGAGCAGGGTTCCAAAATCTCAAAGAAAGGAATAGGGGAGGACTGGTGCCCATAGAGGTAGGGGCTGGAAGCAAGGATAGGCCACAGGACTGCTCCAGCTGGAGCCATTTAGCCTGCGGGTTCCCAATCCTAAATGCACATCAGCCTCACCCAGACATGGCAGATCTAAAGCAAAGCTTGGACATCTGTGAGGTTTTTGCTTTTTTTTTACTTCACCAGGCAATTCTGATAGGCACCCAGGGTTATATACTCTGCTATCACTATTTCTACTTCTAATAATAATAGCCTTTCCTTAGCACAATGGAGATCAGTAACAGGGAAGGACTTCTAAGGGGAGGCCTAGGGACCTGGAGGTTCCACCTGACAGACAACCTGGGTTGGCAAAAGGAGAGACTTGGTTCCTTCCTGCCTCTGTAGGGTATAGCATCATAATGAAGCCAGGCAATGCTGAGCTGGCCCAAGGGCTACAGCTTCACCACTCAAGATAGCAAAGTGCTCAGAAATAAAACTTGGGGCAGTAGGTTTTCTCACAGCTGCTCTCCAAAGGATACTGGATCATCCAACCAGCAGTAAATCCTTCAAGATGAGATCTGAGATAAGCATACCAATATCATCCAATAAAAAGTAAGATCAAAGGGAATGCCATCCATTTTATTATGAGGGAAATATCAAACCTAAATAAAACTTTTATCTTCCAAGGATAAATAATATAGAAAGGGAGGGGGGAAGCCCATGAAATGATTTTACAAAGAAGAAGAGGGAGATCGCGCCTAGAAGGCAAAGAATGAACACTGTTGAAAAAAAATAGTGAGCAAAATAATGGTAAAATTCAGCAACATCTGTTCTGTACTTTCAGTAAAAAAATTTTAAAGATGATTCAAACAGATTAAGGATGAGATGTAAGAGAATGTGACAGCAGAGACGAAGCTGGTTGAGAGAGGCAGAAATAAAAAGGGAACTAGAATAGACAAAAAGAAATGAAAGTGCAACAACAGAATTTAAAGTGCATCAGAAATGTCAATGCAGGGACTTCTCTGGTGGCGCAGTGGTTAAGAATCCGCCTGCCAATGCAGGGGACACAGGTTCAAGCCCTGGTCCGGGAAGATCCCACATGCCATGGAGCAACTAAGCCCGTGCGCCACAACTACTAAGCCTGTGGTCTAAAGACCGTGAGCCACAACTACTGAACCCGCGTGCCACAACTACTGAAGCCCATGCACCTAGAGCCCATGCTCCGCAACAAGAGAAGCCACCGCAATGAGAAGCCCAGGCACCGCAACAAAGAGTAGCTCCCACTCGCCGCAACTAGAGAAAGCCTGCGTGAAGCAACGAAGACCCAACGCAGCCAAAAAATTAATTAACTAATTAATTAATCTTAAAAAAAAGAACTGTCAATGCATATATGCATAAATGCATATAGAGAACAAACTTGCTACATACTCACAGAAGGCAAAGGAAAAAGGCACGGATATAAAAAAAAAAACAGAAAATAGAAGACCAATGCAGACAGACAAGGAATTGCACATAGGAGTATTTGAAGAGCAAAAACAAACAAAAACAATAATCAGAGATTTAATGAAAGAAAATATTCCTAATGTGTAGATAGGTTGAAATTTGAAGATCCAAAACCTCACAGGGTACTAGGAAAACTTTGTGAAAAACATTAACATGTATATAACCCATGACTGAAATTTCATGAAAGAAAGGACTCCTGTCTCATTCACTATTGAATTCCTGATGCCTAGAACAATGTCAACACATAGTAAGTGGTCAATAAACATTTACCATGTGCATGAGTAAATGATTAAAATCTTGAACTTTGCACATAAAGAAAGCTTCTATGATATCCAGGCTGAAAAATCAGATTGTCTACATAGGATTTTTTTTTTTTAATCACACCTTCAAATTCCTCTTTCAAAACTTTAAATTCCCAAAGCCAATGTGAAATGCCACCAGAATTCTGACAACAAAGGTTTTGGCCCAAGAATTTTATCTTCAATCAAGTTCCTATTCACTTGTGAAGACAACAAAAGGATATTCTCAGATAATCCTGGGCTCAGAAAGTATCCCATTCCTCAGTAAGAAGATAGAAATCACTGTGCAGAGAGAGAAATAAAAATACAGAGAAAGACAAAGATACTTTGGTGTGAAAGAACTGGTAGTAAACACTGAAACTATTAAAACATATACCTATTAAAATAATTTTTATGAATATTGCTATAAATTAATATAAAACTGAATCCTTTAAAGATGTAGTACATGTTAAAAATAATTAAAAATAAGAAGCTGGCAATAAAATGCTGTATTAAACCAATAACATAAGGGAAGCAAAAGGGGAAGGAGTAAAAGGAAGTAAAGAATGCTAACTTCCTTATCTTACTGGGGGAGAAGTTAACATTATTTCAGTCAACACAGGCAATAAGAGAAATACACATTCAAATAGGATTTTTTTATTTTTGTTTTTTAATGTGTAATGCAGAATAAAAGCAAAATCTATACTGTCTGAATCACTGAAAAAAGAAAATCTGGGGCTTCCCTGGTGGTGCACTGGTTGAGAGTCCGCCTGCCGATGCAGGGGACACGGGTTCATGCCCCGGTCCGGGAAGATCCCACATGCCACAGAGTGGCTAGGCCCGTGAGCCATGGCCGCTGAGCCTGCGCGTCTGGAGCCTGTGCTCTGCAACAGGAGAGGCCACAACAGTGAGAGGCCTGCATACCGCAAAAAAAAAAAAAAAGAAAATCCGTGCAGCAAAAAGAGAAAACAATGGACATAACAACATAGCATAAAAAAGAGAAAAAATTAAGATGACAGAAGAAAGGAAAACCATATCACAAACAACACTAATGTAAATTGCTTAACTACTATTTTTCTCAAAAAGGTTTGCAACATATGCTGTCTCCTAGAGTACATCTATAGCAATGTTATCCAGAAAGCTTTTAAGAAGAACAAAAGGGGGGCAAAGGCATATCATGCAAATAGAGCACAAAGAAATCAAGAAAATCGGGGCAAAAAAAAAAAAAATTAAATAGGCTAAAGTGAGCCACTTCTTAATAGTGGAAGTTAGAATCTACAGTTAAGATATCAATCACGGGGCTTCCCTGGTGGTGCAGTGGTTGAGAGTCCGCCTGCCGATGCAGGAGACATGGGTTCGTGTCCCGGTCCGGGAAGATCCCACGTGCCGCGGAGCGGCTAGGCCCGTGAGTCATGGCCACTGAGCCTGTGCGTCTGGAGCCTGTGCTCCGCAACGGGAGAGGCCGCAACAGTGAGAGGCCCGCGTACCGCAAAAAAAAAAAAAAAAAAAAGATATCAATCACGAACATAAATATCATAACATCAAAATGTGTGAAACAAAACAATTAGAATTTCTAAGAGAAACTGAGAAGAATGGCAATCCATGTAAGCAAAGAACAGTAACGACAACAAAAACAGAAGTCCTGAAAAACCTTACTACTACAGCTGATTTAAGACTAGATCTTACCTTACAAGCAAACACTCTACCTATTACCACAAAACTTTGCCAAATAGTAAGCCCCAAGAAAATGTTGATAAATTCCCCACAAAGAATACTAAAATGTAAAACAAAAAACTAGAAATCAACAACAAAGTATAAATGTTAAAAATATTTTAAACCTACCACTTGATAACACACATAATTAATCCTTCAATCAATGAGGAAATCAAACTAGCAAGTAGGGACTTCCCTGGTGGCGCAGTGGTTAAGAATCTGCCTGCCAATGCGGGGACACAGGTTCAAGCCCTGGTCCAGGAAGATCCCACATGCTGCAGAGCAACTAAGCCCCTGTGTGCCACAACTACTGAGCCCATGTGCCACAACTACTGAAGCCTATGCGCCTAGAGCCCATGCTCCACAACAAGAGAAGCCACCGCAATGAGAAGCCTGCACACTGCGACGAAGAGTAGCCCCTCCTCGCCACAACTAGAGAAAGTCCACACGCAGCAACAAAGACCCAATGCAGCCAAAAAATAATAAATATATAAATAAAAAATAGCAAGTATATAATAAAGTAAAGTAAAAATAAAGAGAACATATATTAACACCCTCATAAATAATTCTTTGATCAAGGGAAAATCAGAATAGCAATTATACCATGTCTTGAAAGTAAAGATAAAGACAACATGTATAAATGCCTAAAGAATTCTGGCAAAGCTCAAATCTGGAAGGGAGAAAGAAGCACTGAAGGCTTTTATTATCAAACAGAAAATAATGGAAATAAGTTGAACTATGCATTCAACTCAAGAATTTAGTAATAGAACAATATAATGAAGTTAAGAGAACTAGGGAGAAGGAAATAATAAAAAAAATAAGGGGAGAAATTAATAAGACAGAGAAAGAAAAACAATTTAAAAACCCAAGAGATTACTCTTTGGGGAAAACAACAGTAATAAAACAGACAACCCAAGCGAAGCAGATCAAGTGTTAAAAAGAGAGAAACACAAAACTACAAATCAAAATAACCTGGGGTTATATAATCTGTAACCCCAGAGGAGTTGTAAACAAATATTCCATGTGACATTCTGCCAATATATCTGCCAATACATTTAAAATCACAGCGAAATGGACGTTTCTTAGGAAAGTACAAATTATAAAAATTGACTCAAGAAAATGTAAGAAACATAAACAGATCCCAAAAAACATAAAAGAAACTGACAAAGTTATCAAAGAATCATCTCCCAAAGGGGTGAAACTTAAATAATATTAAGAGCAATGTGTCCAACTTTAAGGGAAGGGGATAATTCTAAAGTGATATAAACTTTTCCAAGGTATAAAAAATATGGAAAACTTCCCAATTCATTTAAAGAGAACTAGCATAACGCTAATAATGAAATCAGACGGCCAAATGTGCAGGATAGGGAGGCGGGAGTGACAGAGCCTCACAAGAGTGCATAAGGAAACGGCAAAGACAAAATTTGAGTAGATATGGAGTAAATGCAGAAACATACCTTGTTCCCAGTTGGAATAATTCAATATAAATCCCAATTCTCACTAGGTTAATTTGCAAATTTAATCCAATTCCATTTAACATTTCAGACAGAGGAAGGAGGTCTGGCAACATTAAAAAACTCAGCCATGGTCACCCAACTCTTAAGCAGCAGAGTTAAGATGCAAATCCGGGTATGTCTGACCCAAAAGGCCACGCTTTTCTCAGTGGAAATTAACTTGAAGAGGTTGAAGAGGATATTAGTAAAAACAGCTGACACTGAACAGCAAGCTCCCATTCTGACCGAACAGAGACAGATGAGTTTGGAGTCCTGGGATGCTCTTTCAAAGAAGACATATTCCTAATAAATCCACAGTAGTTTATTTTTAACTTTGAACAACTTTCTCTAGTTACTATATTAATTTGACAATATCTTTCCCTACCTAGTATTTACTTAGAAATAAATCACTTTGTTTTATTTATATACAAGTACCCTGAGACCTATTTTGTATAATTTCATAGTTGGCTTGATATTGTTAAGACTGGCAGACTTCAATTATTTCTGCAACATCCATGTTACTTCCCAGTTCCTAGTGGCAGCAACACCTAAAGGTTGAGTTTTCTTAATTAGGACATCAAATAGCTAGTTGAGAACTACCTCAACTCATCCAAAATAATAAATGACACCAATGGTTTTTCAAGGTTTGCTTATTAGGAGTTTAATTAGTCCTGACACCCCACAACCAGAATTATGAAAAAAAAAACTTACTGTAATTGTCATGATGATATAAAAATCCAGGTGATAACTATGTGCATTGGGGTTTATTATGACTTCTTGAAGCTCCTTCTTGTCCACGCCTCTTTTCACCCCACATCTACCCTCCTGCATCCTAAGGCTGCCTCCCCCTCTCCACCTGCCCACTCTCAGCTCGGTTCTCCACCCCCAATCAGTCCTAGGGTCAGTTCCCATCCTGGAGCACAGCTCCTGGGTCAGCCTCCCTGGCTCCACCTTTACCATAGGCAAGAGTGAATGACTTTTGAGTTTCCTACCAAAGGTAAGCCATGTGGCTACCCTCTATTGCCTTGGATAACTGAAATGGACTGCATCATCACCTACTGTTCTCCTCTTTTAAATGCCTTATTACCTTCCACGTCAACCAGAGGACGCAGCTGAGAATCAATACATCAGCGACCATTCAGCCTGGCATCAACAGGAGAGGAATCTCTCCTACCAGACCCACTCTGGTTCTGAGCCTAGAGCAATTAATCCCCTGGCTACAAATCTCAGAAAGCAACCGTGAACTCTCCTGACCAGTAGATTCTGAAGCACATTTTCCCACATCCTGTGCTTAGCATTTTCTAGGAGGAAATGAGACTTCACCTCCACCTACCAGCTGTCTGGAACTCAATGATGGCTGGCACAGAGCGTCTGGGAGAGGCAATAGAAATGTGCATGGTGTAGTTGGTGCCCTGGTACAGATCTAGGCACACTTTCGGGGTCCTGTTGTCTGTGGTCAAATTAACTGTCTCCTCATGAACTGTTTCCATGGGGTCCAACCGTTGTCCTTTTATGTATATCTTTGTGAGGGGAAAAGACAAGAGAACCCACCAGAACTTCAGTTAAAACAAACAAGAGAGATTTTTGTGGTGCTGGAACCTACTCCCTTACTACTCCCTTTAATACTGCACTGCTCACCCCAGGGGAGATAAATAGGGCAAACCTCTGCTATCAGGTATCTGATGATGAAATCTGATCAGCCCAGTAATCCATAAATGCTGAGAAGTAACATAAAATGAGGAGTATCTCCAGGGAGTGCTATCCTGCACTCAAATGACCAGCGATCAATGGAGGCAACACAACCTGAGACCCGCTCACTGCAAACTGTCACTGAGGCAGCAGATGCTTCTAGGCTTGTTCTGGGGGAGTGAAATACAAGAGCTTGCAAACAAGCGATAATGACGATGCCAAATATAAATACATCCCACACACATATATGGAGGATGACAAATAGACTAAACTCAAAATGTAAAATAAAAGAATCCAGATATCTTTAAAATTCTGTTCACTTTTTTAAAGGACTATGGGATTTGAAAGCTATTAGACTGAGAAGCACTTCCGGAAGCAAGTCCCTCCTACTCTTATTCCCATGGTAACCATTTCTGCCCTAGCAGGAAAAAGGAGCTCACGTTACTTACCACATATACGACCTTGGAGTTTATTCTTCCTGGGTTTATTTGCCACCTCACACAAGTGTTATTAAACACTGACACGTCATTAATTTCTATAATTATTTCTAAAATAGAAAAAGAGAGAGTCCACTCACAAAATGCATTGATGGGCTTTGGAAAAACCCTAATGGCCACCACATTAGAGGGCGTGACTTAGTTTATCTGCCCAGCTGGTCTCTCTGATGATCACCATTCATGCTCTGATTCAGAAACCGAATCAGCAATTCAAGCTACCCCAGGCCATCACCCAATTTAACTTCACCATGAGTGAGCTTGGCCCATTACCTGATTTGGAGGAAAAGGAAAGATTCCTGCTTAAGTATGGGTGAGAATTCCAACCTGTGATTGGTCTGACAGGCCACTGGATGCCACTGGTGTTCCACTCCTGTGGGATAGAAAGCGGCCCAGAGTTGAGCCCTGAATCTTCCCTGCAGTTGCACAGGTAAGATCAGCTTCCGGCTTCCTCATCCCACCCAGCTGATGGAGCGTTATTTCCAGGTCACTGCTGTTCCCAAGAGGGAAATGACACGCATCACCACATGGGACCATTCCTCAGGAGTAACCCGCTGGGGTAAACTAAATAAATTCTCCACAAGGTCCCTGGATACTTCCAGAGCTCCTTTAACTGAAGCTATTTAATCCTGACTTACTCCGAAGCCACTAATTTCTTCAAGTTGTTCTGCTTTTTTTATATATTCTGTGTGTATTTCATGTAATATATTTGGGAATGTGGGAAACAGTATTAGGACCTCGGTTCCTGAGGTAACACAGTTTCCAATGAACCTAGTAAACCACCTAGGAAGTTGTCCAGATGGGAAGGGGTCAAGGATCTAGCTTTTTATCCATTTAATAAATTCCCTGCAGATAAGTAAAAACATTTTTACTTGCAGTTGACATACTCTTGTCTATAAAGAATCCTAAGGAATTCACATACATACACACACACACACACACACACACACACACACACACACACAAGGCTAAGAAAGGAGTTCAGCCAGGTTGCAGGATACAAGGTCAATGTACAAAAATCAATTGCATTTCCGTCCACTAGCAAGGAACAATCCAAAAAGGAAATTAAAAAAAAAATTTCACTTACACCAACATCAAAAGGAATAAAATTCCCTGCGGGTAGAAGTTACCAAACCATCACCTCTGGAGAAGGGAATCATCACCTCACCACACAGGAATGTTCCTCAGCCCAAATTCAAGCTTCCCCACTGAATCAGACATCCCTTGTGGATGTTCTAGAACCTCTCAGCTTCTCCTGTTCCTTGTTCCAGCCCTGCACGGGCTTTGACACCATGATCGTGTCTTGTCTCCCATGCTGGGGCTTCCCTGCTGCACACCCTAGCACATGCAACCTGGAAGTGGGGGGGAATTAACACCTCCTGGGGGACAGGAGGTACTAGATAAGTCTGCCCCTTATCTTTCTTCCCCTTGAAGGGCAGACCTACAAAGACCCCTCAGGGCGCTGTCGCACTGATGGAGCAATACTTGCACTCAGTGAAGATCGCTGCAACAAGGCGTCCTTACACTGGCTCTGCTTCCTTCCCTGCTCTACTCACCTTAGCCCTCACTCCTGCTTCCTGGGATAGCACTCCCTATTGTGAAAAAAATATAAGCCCTCTGCCTCAGGCCCTGCTTTCTGGGAAACCCAAGGTAAGACTCCCATCGAGAAGGGTGAGAAAGATAAGTCTCCGCCCCAGAAGATTCCTCTCTTCATCTCAGCTCCCATCCTTCCCTTCTAGTAAATCTCTTCTCAGCCTCCAAGTGGGAAAGGGAGCCTGCACCTCAGGCACCTGCAGGGTTGACTAATTTCTCCTCTACTCAGAACCAATACTATCTTTAGACAGACCCTAGTCTACTGCTCTCTTTGCCTATGGAAGAGTTTATATCTTTACTAAATCATCCCTTCAGCAGCATTGCCGAGATTCTATGTCACACATTACCTGGTCTTGGGTAAGCCCAGGTCAGCTGACTATAAGTGGGAATAAATGGAGGCAGAGAGAGGAAAACAGGCAAACTTCTGGAGAGACACCAGAGGATCACCTACGGCTGTCTAAAGCACCCCTGGGTCTCTACATCAATGTTTCTCCCTGGAGCACAGATAATTTGAAATCAAAGAAATACTCCAGTTGTGGACATAGGTATCCTGATAGATGCAAAGACCTATCCATTCACCTCCTTGGGTAGCATAATGATGATGTTGGCACCAGTCTTTTATCAGCTTGAACAAGCCCCAAATATTCCTGGCCCTTTCCCTCTCCACTGACCTTCAAAGCCCTAGAGTTCTAGATTCCTCTGCTCATTCCCACATCCCTCTGATACTCACCCCCTGGTCCAGAAGGAAAAGCAAACATCCCACCCCTCACCTTCTCTCTGAGTTGCCAGTAAAGCACATTTCCTTCCCACTCGGGACCTCTTCGCCACCCAAGCAGAGGTTAGAAAGGAAACATGAAAGTTTCTTTTCTTGTTCTTCCTTTTTGCTCATTCACTATGACAACTGCAAATAACATCTCAAAAATGCTATCTGCCTCCAGGCTGTGCCATGCTCTCTGCACAGAGGGACCCAGATCTGATTATAGGGATGTCAGATATTTCATCCCAAGGAGTAGCATAACAAAATCCAGTTGCTTTTCCCTCCAGGTGTCTACGAATCAGCTGGAAAGACTTCGTTATAAAGGTATCAGCTATTAAACATCCATATCCATGCTGTCCCTTTAAAAGAGATGACTTTGGAGGCTATGCCCTAATTCTAATAGTACCGAAAACTGAAAACATCTCTGGAAGTTCTCTTTGGAACTGACTCCAGGGCACTTTATTCACCACTGACCCTTAACTGAACGATTATCGCATGCCAAGCATCCTCCCATGCCAGGCACTGGGCTGTGACGATGATCAGAACAGAAGTCCTTCCCTCAGGAACATGGCTTCTAATGGAGGGAGCAAACATATAAGCAGAAAAATTACAACTTGGTAAATATCAGGACAAAGTTGCACACAAGTACCACAGGGTATAGAGAAAGAAGCCACCAACTCTCACTGCAAGACCTGGGGAAGCCGGCTTCGTGGGGGGCATGACCTTCAGGGCTGAATGGCTGAAGAGTGAGGAAGACAGAAGACAGAACAGCAGGTCCAATGCCTGCAAGCGTAAAGGGTGTGGCAGATTCAGACAGAGACGTGTAACGTGCTGGGGAGGAGGAAAGAGGGGAAGCAAGGTTGCAGAGAGAGGAAGGGATCAGACTTGGGAAGACCTGCTCGCTAGACTAAGCGCAGACTTACTCCGACGAGCCTTGGAGAGCTAAAAGCAGGAAGATGATGGGGACTTCCTTTTTTTTTTTTTTAAACAACTTTATTGGGGTATAATTGCTTTACAATGGTGTGGGGGACTTCTTTTTTTAGAAAAATAACTCTGGTGTATTTTGAAAGAGACACTGGAGGTCACAAGGAAAGAATGTGATACCCTTTACTCAGTGATTACAATACATCAAACACTGATACGTAGGTCTTTATAGATTTGATCACATTTTCCCAGCAGTCATAGGAGGCAATCATAAAATCAATAACGAGTGAACATTTATTGAGTTGTTACTATGGACCAGATAGCATGTACGGTACTTTAAATGTATCATTCATCTAATCTTCAAAATAACACCATGAATTTGACATTATAGTGTCCATTTTACAGGCCTAAGGCTTAGAGAAGTTAAGTAACCTGCCAAAGGTCACACAGCTAGTAAGCAGTGAAGTCAGGATTCAAAACTAGATCTGCCAGACTCCATAGCCCAGAGCCTTTGCACTGAAGTAGCTATTCAGCAAAAAGGTGAAAAGATGAAATCAGGGCACTGGATTTAAAACCGTGAGCAATTCTGAAGGAAAGCAATAGGAGGCAAGAGATAAGGAGTCTAGGCTGACTGCCAGTCTCTGAGCCTGAGAGTCTGAATAGATCGCCTTCTACTGTACTCATAAGAAATATAGGAGGAAGCAGACTGGGTTTGTGAGAAAGAGACGAACGAATTGTGTTTAGAACATGCTAAGTCTGAGTTCATCTACCTGGGTGAGAAAAACAGTCTTGAAGGTCATCAATGGGTAGATGGTAGTTGAATCCCTGGGTGCAGGTGACATGCCCAGGTAAGACATGGAGAGCAGGTGGCATGATAGCAGGGCACTGGGACACATGGAAACCAAAGGGGAAACTAGAGGAGAAAGAGGAATGCAGAAGGAGGTCAGAGGTTGGCTGGGAGAGTGTGATGCCTCGAGAGTCAAGGAAAGAGAAGATCTGAAGGAGTGTCTGCTTCCTCGAACGTTATCTCCCTTCCTTCCCACCAATCCTCCCGACCTCCTCGCTCCCACCCAAGAAGAGCCTGGAGCAGAACATAAGCACTGGGGGCTCGACCTCTTGCCCTCCCCTCACATGGCTCTTTCTTCCCCAGTGGAGGGCACATGGTGCCATGATCAGATCTGAGGTCTGACTTTGGACAGAGGCAGGCAGAGCAGGTCTCTGCCTTGTCCAGTTGTAGGACGTTTAGGCTCCTCTGGCCTAAACAAAGTAGGCCCCCACAGCATCCAACTGAACTCTGCATTGGGTTATAAAGTACCTTTGCTTTGCTTTAGATTCTGCATGTGGTGCACAGGTGCGTATGTGTGTGTGTGTGTATAAATGTACACATATAAAGTTATGTATTTTAGTATTCTATTAGCATCCAGTATTTCTCTGTGGTACTCATCATGTTTGTAACTAAATAATTTTGTGATTAGTTATTTAATGTCTATCTCTCCTGAATGTAAGCTCTATGACAGCGAAGACAAGATCTATCTACCTCTCCAACCCCAGAAACTAATACAGTTGGTTGGACATAGATATTTTTAAAATATTTATCATTTGGTTGACTGGTTGAATAGATTGATAAATGTATGGATAGATAATCAACAATGCTAAATGTTGTGGAAAGGTTAAGAGGAAGGAGGACTGACACTAGACCATGGTCATTAGTGACCTTGAGAGAGAGCAACAGTGAAGTGGGGTGTTGGACGCCTGATTCTCCTTCAGGAAGCTCAGAAGAGAACAGGGTGGGAGGGGACAGAGACAGTGAGCACAGACTGCTCTCTCAGAAGTCCCATTGTGGTCAGGGCCTAGTCTAGTGCACTCTCTTGGTTTCCAATTTTATATCCATTTTCTCTACTTTTGAAAACAGTAAAAGGTCCTACAGAATAAATTCAAGAGACCTTAACAGAATGTCGAGCTCAATGTCATTTCTAGTATCTGCTTTCAAAAGTGATATGACCAGTCTTCTAATATGACTCATAAACTACCTCCAAAGGCAATTCCCAAACAGATTACAAAACCAACACATTTTGATAATAGCAGCATCCCTGATATGAGGGTATGGCTTCCCAAGGTGACAACTTTGAATAAATGCATGTTTGGCTATAAGAGTTTTGCTATGCTTCCTTTCTTCTTTTTAAGTCATTAGAGTCACATAAAATAGGTGGAAGCAGCATGGCTTAAAGTAGTGCTTTCCTAAAATGCGTTATTCACTTTAGGATGAGTTTTTTGGTGGCACATGAATATATTTTTATGTGTTTGCTTTGTATTGATTTTTGTGTATATTTGAAAAAGCCCAGGTGTTCATCAAACTCATGATATCACATATATTACTGTGTCCTTGATCAATAAATTTAAAATTTAAGTTTTAAACATAAGTTGTTTTAAGAAACTTATTAAATTAAAAAATACTTTAGTTCTGGCAAACATTGTCAGGATGGTCTACAAAGAATTCAAGTTTAGGAAAGTGGCAGGAGACAGCTCGTGGGCTTTCCAGGTCTAAAGGCCTGAGTTCAAATCCTGTCTCTGCCATTTACTAGTCATTGAAAGACCCTGTGAAAGTTGCATAACTTTTATGAGTCTCAGATTATTCATCTATGAAATGAAAACATCAATACTTCACAGGGTTTTTCTGAGGACAAAATGAAATCAAGCCTCAAGGCTCCTAGCAGAGCCGTGGGTGTTTAAGTTGGTGCACGATCAATGGTAGCTATAATGCTTGACGGTCTAAACATTACGCACATATTCAAACAAATCCCAGCCCTGCGGCTATTTGCATAAATGTGCCCATTTATTCCGGCTGACCTTTCTCTTCTATCTGAAATATGTCCAGCTGCAAGTGAGCACTCACTGGGCTGAAGAGGAGGATCGACCACAAAACAGAAGGGCAGGAGCTAACAGGAGGCCTGGAGGCATTTGGACTCGGTCCCTGAGTCGGGTGAGGGGCCCAGAAAGGATCCCAGCAGCCACTCTGTGTTTCCATAGAGATGTTGCTCTTTAGAGAGCCTGGAGTGAATGAGCGTCCACTTCATCATTATTAACTCAGATTCGAAACGTAAAAAGCCAAACGACCTGTGCAGAATGAAAGCCAGGGACAGTCTTATCAAGAATGGATCAGTCCCTTTGATCTTGAGGTAAACCGACTCACTGAACATCAAGCTTCCACCTGGGGTTTTTCCAGACACTAAAGTAATTGCCTAATTCTCAGCTCTCTGGAGTTTCCAGTCTAAACTGGCCTTAAAAAAAAAGTCCCACCACCTTGCTGGAGTTCACACTCCATTAAAAACATATACATATCTAACTGAATCACTTTGCTGTACAGCAGAAATTAACACAACATTGTAAATCAACTATACTTCAATAAAATTAAATATATATGTGTGTGTGCGTGTGTGTGTATATATATATATGCATACACATACACACAGATCTGTCCTATTAATCCAAAGAAATAGGGACTCCAAAACTATTTTTAACTAACAACAACTCACGTAAAGTGAAGATAAATTATTCTACCCAATTTAGAATGAAACACTCATGTATAAAAAGATGGGTAAACAGAATGAAAACAAAGGACAGGGGTAGAAGGCATTCACAGGTTAGGCAGAAACGTAAAAGAAGATGGGGAAAAAGCCCAAAAGTGAACATTGAAGGAGGTAAATACAAAATACACAGAGAGATTTGGGACAGAAGGCGAGGTGTGAAGAAATAGGTGAAAAACAGGAAAAAGAAGGAAGGGAGGGCAGCTGAGCGTGAGCCATGGTAATCAGCATCTCTCACTACAGTTCCAGAAGCCTCTCGTACCTACCTACCCAGCGATCATGTGCACTGTGCCATGAATTAATCAGCATGTAAATCGCCCCCTTTATCTGCGGAAATTGAATTTAGCTGCCAATCTTGATTGAGGGCATAGAGGCCTCCTCACAGAAAGATCACAGCCCTCAGGGAGAAAGCCTTTTCTCTCCTTAAATCAAAGCTTGCATAAACCCATGGAAACAGCTGCAGCTGGAGCCACAGACTTTGCGAACGGTGGCAGGCTGAGGTTGGTAATTATAATTAGCAGTTACATAACATGTTTGTTCTTCAAAGTGCTCTACAAGCATCAGCTAATTAATGGCTTACTATGCCCCATGCAGATCCACTGGTTTTTCATGGAGTGACTAATCCTGGTGCCCCCACTGAATTCTGATTGGTGGAGGCACAGCAGCTTGAACAATGAAGCAAATGGCTGAGGGTCCAGAAGCTGGGCCCAGCTCTCTGACCAAGTGACTCCATAGGCAGCTCTGGGCCAAGACCACCTCCCCAGATGTGGAATTCAGCAACCCACGAGGCAGCTGCCTCACTTCCTCCAAATAACTCTTAGAGGTGCTGCTGGAGGTGCAATAATAGTTTGGAATGACCATCAGTCTGGTTCAAAACGGCATTAGCTCTTCTCAACGTCCCCAAGTATGAAGACTGGGACTCTGGAGTCCTTGGCGTTAGTTACAGGTTTGCCCTTGCTTCTCTGTGCAAGTTCGGCCAGTCAATGGGACCTAAAAGAAAGCTGAACTCGATCTCTGGGTTCTCATCCGTGTCTGCCCTTCCTTGTTACTATGATTGCAATCTCTAGCTTACAGCCTGCTGCAGTTGTGGTGGAGAAAAATGAATGTGGGAAATGCATGGCACAGGCAGGGCCTCAGCAGCAGAGATAAGTTCTTCATCTACTCCTGGGATGCTTTTCCCAAGGCCTTCAGAGGTCCATGATTTTATAAAATATTATATCCGTATGTGCATTTCTTTGGAGAAAAGTCTATTTACCCTATTGCCCTGTAAACTCCAAGAAGGTAGTGTCCAGCAAAGTACCTCACACACAGTGTATGCTAAATAAACATCTACTGAACAAATTGATAGATTTCATCAAATTCCTAACCCCAAAATGGTCATGAACCATTCCTCTATGGACAAATAATCACCAGCAGTCTGCATGTTGTATTTGCTCTGGTTAGACTCTCCTATGGAAAACTTCGATTGGCAACACCCAAGACATTCTTCCATAATTCTGCTACAAAACCAAGCCAGAGACCTAGACCAAAGCGACCTAGAGATTTCACTCTTCAGAGCCAAGCAAGTTAACAGCTTGAAATAAATTCCCAGAGCCATTCAAGACCAGGTGACAACCATTTGTCACACCCACGGCCAACCACCACAAACCCAAGAATCATTGCCTTTTCCCATCTTATTTCTTGGAGGCCGAGGTGTGAAATAAAGCACGTGGAAGTCTACACTTCTGACTCATGAGAAGATCCTCTTCAAGCAAGGTTAATAATTTCAGTAAAAGACCTAACATGGGCACAGTGGTTTAAACTTCAAAATGCTCCCCATAGATTGTTTCATTTGATTCCCTCTCAACAATTATTTGAGGTAGGAAAAGTAGGTTTTATTTTCTCCCTTTTATAGAGGAGGAAACTGAGGCTCTGAGAGAATAATGCCTCACCTAATGACACACAGCTAACACATGGCACTGCTAGAACGTGAACTGAAGTCTCAAAACTCCTTTTCACCGGTAATTTCATTTGGGGGTATATATCCAAAAGAATTGAAAGCAAGGTCTCAAAGAGATATCTGTATACCCATGCTCACAGCAGCATTAGTCACAATAACCAAAAGGTGGAAGCAACACAACTGTCCATCAATGGACGAATTGATAAGCATAATGTTTATATATATACTACAAAATATTATTCAGCCAGAAAAAAGAAGGAAATCCCACCATTGGCAGCAACATGAATGAACCTGTAGTACATTATGTTAAGTGAAATAAACCAGTCACAGAAGGATAAATACTACCTGATTCTGCTTACATGAGGTCAATTAGTCAAACTCATAGAAACAGAAAGCAGAACGGTGGTACCAGAAGCTGTGGGAAGGGGGAAGTAGGGAGTTACTGTTTAACCCGTAGAGAGTTTCAGTTTTTCAACATGAAAAAGTTCTGGAGATTGGTTGCACAACGTGAATCTACTTAACACTGAAAAAATCGTTAAGTTGGTAGATTTTACGTTGTTCGTATTTTACCACGATTAAAAATAAACATTAAAAACCTAGATATACATTACACCACCTTCTCTCTGAAAAGCTGTCAAATGTGCTTAATTAGGACTTTTAAGGATTCCCCCCCTGAGAAAATGGCTCATGGCAAAAAATCTCTCAGGCAACCAAGCAGAAGAGAGAGGAATCACTGGGATTTAAGGTGGGTTTCAAAAGATTAGATGCATAAAATTTCCTATCCAACTTATTTTCCCAATCCACCCTCTAAATCTTCAGGGTTTAGCTGACAAACCTAAAGCCAGGTACCTGCCCAGGTAAATGGCACAGCCAGGGCAGTACACGGGGTAAGCAACCGAAGGTTTTAGGTTCTGCTGTTAGCTTCCACGAGACGGGAGACCCACAGAATGGAGTCTATACCTGTGCATGACAAAGTACTTGTTCTCCAGATCCCTTTCTCTGTGCAAACAGAAGTGATCTTTCCTCCAGGGCTCTCAAAGCCCTCTTGACAGACATAGTGAGCCATACCGCCCAGTCTGGAGCTGTGATTCCCCACCAGGACCGCATGCTGCACTTCCGGAGGGCGGCCACAGTTGATCTCTGCAATGGGAAGTAGCACAGCACTTGTTATGACCCATGACTTCTACCCCATAATTCACCTTTTAGAAATAAATATCCAGTAATGATAGAGTCTAGTCATATGGGAGAAGAGAAAACACTAACCCCATCAAATAATCCAGTTGCAGGTATTTAAAATAAGATCGTTCAGAAGTAAGGAAAATAGAGATCTCTGAATTTAATAAAATTTATAAACATGCATGTATAGAAAATATTCCAATTATGAGATTATTTATACTATAGAGAATTCCTTGGTCAATGAAATAATCCATCTCAGGGTTATTTTACATATTAAGATTTTCTGGTACCTTTTAGTATGTATCTTCAGATCATTAACTCCTGAGTAGATAATAATGCAAATGTAGTTTTTTGGGGTTTTTTTGCTAACTGAAGAGTAAATGAAATATATACAAAATCTCTGAACTTTTTAAAGCAAATTAATGGGGAAAGTATTTATAGTTTAAACATGCAATATATATGTACCTTTCAAAGAAAAATAAATCAGTTGCATAGAGGGAGACAAACCTGGAATTATAAAATTGACATGAAATTTCTTCTCTGCAACTCTGACTACCAGAAGACACTGGAATATTTACAGAAAACAATCTGAAGGACAAGGATTATGACATTACCATTTTAGACCCAGCCAAACTCTACTTCATATAAGAATAAAAGAGTCATTTTCAGATATTTACAATTTTTTAAAAAATCTATACATATATCTTTTCTGGAAAAAAATTTAAAAATAACCTCAGACCAGCAAAAAAAAAAAAGAATCAGAATAAATGCCCTAAGAAAGGAGAAGGACAGAGCTTTAGAAGAAACACTAGTAAGCAATGAAACTAGCAGGATGTACAGGTAAGTCTCCATAATTATTTAAGTGTGACTGTAGAGCTGGATAGAACTAGCAGTAAAGGATTCTAGAAGTAAAGGCTGAACAATGTAAAAAAATTAATAATTTGAAAATTAAATTCCAAACTATTTCAATAAAATCTGAGCAGCGAAGTGAAGAGAAGAAATAAAACATGGTAAATTTCCCATACAGCAGTGGGGAGCTCATAGACACAATTTTATTCAAGAAAACGTAATAAATATAAAATATAAAGTAACGTAGTCATAATAATTGCAAATGTAATCCAGTTATACCTAAATCCAGAAAGAAAAATACATAACTTTTGGCCTTCATTCTGATTTTTAGTTTTCTCCCCCATCTGCAGAAAGCCAAGAAAATTAAGCACTCTTGATATCCAGACTTTTAAACCATGAGTCCATTTATGGAGATAAAGCATACAAAAACAGAGAAAATGTTATGATCTGTTCCCAACTCCCCATTAACCATTCATGGCATTAGAAATATGTGGCTTCTCTTAAATGAGCTTCTGATACAGAATTGGTAGATTTACTGTAATTGTACTCTTCTCCAGCCCCTTATGGATGTCTGGTCTGTTCTAGAACCCCAGAGTTACTTCCCTGAGGGAGGCCTCTTGGAGCAGGGTTTCATCTGTCGTCACTGGAGTTATCATAAGACTCTCAATATAACAGCTCAACCCACCTGACCAGTCACTTGGCTCTGAGATTTTTCAAAAAAGAGTTAGGCTCTGGTCAGTGCAGATGCAAATCCTGAGCAGTTATGGGACCAGAATGAGGTGGTCGTTAAATAAATCCTCCAACCCTATCTATCTCTCAAGTCCCATGTTTGCTCATAGGAATTTGTTCCCTTCTCATACATGTTGACCAGACACAAGACAAGACCCCTTGGCCCTCAGAATGTTTTCCCAACATCAAACCTTTAGACGTGTTTACTGGCCCAAAACATTCCAAGACATGAGTATATTTGTCTGTACATGAGCAACCAACCGAACAGGTGGTTAATGTTTCCTAAGACTGCCCAGTGATTGTTGACATCAAAAACATCTAGTTTAAGCCAGGGTTCAGTTACAGCAGGAAATTAGAGGGATCATCAGTGAATAGATTGAGGGTATAGGTTTATGCAGGTCTATTGACCTTGAAGCTGGAATTCTAAACAGCATATTGGAGAGATATGGGAGGGAACCTGGTGACAGATAGTCGGATTAGAGGAGAAGCATAGATACTAAAGGAATAAGAGTACAGAAGATAACTAAATTGGCTCCTATATTGGACATCACCAAGAATAATGGAAGGCATGGTGGCTTTAGCTGGGACGACAAGATTTTTTTTTGGCTGTGTTGGGTCTTCGTTGCTGCACGCAGGCTTTCTCTAGTTGCGGTGAGCAGGCTCTAGAGCGCAGGCTCAGTAGTTGGGGCGCACGGGCTTAGTTGCACCCCAGCATGTGGGATCTTCAGGGACCAGGGATCGAACCCGTGTCCCCTGCATTGGCAGGTGGATTCTTAACCACTGCACCACCAGGGAAGTCCCAAGATGTTTTAAAATTAATATTAACTTGGGGGTAGATAAGAAATCAATAGCCTGTCCTCTAGGGACTCAGGTAGATGTCCAGTGGCAGGCAATCTGGACCCAACTCTGTGAGTTCCCATCATGGAGCTATTCGAGTTGGACAGTCCCTTGGCAGGAGATATTTAGAGAGGATTCCGGCGTGGCTTGGATTAAACACATGGTTCTAAACAATAGCTATACAATCTGAATCACCTGGGGAGCTTTTGAACCAATCACCCATGCTGGAGTCTCACACACACATCCCCACCCTCACCCAGAGACAACTCTTCTGAATGAGTAGTACTGAGTTGGTTCTTGGCATCCACATTTCTACAAAGGTGCAAATTGATTTGTATGCACACCCGCAGCTGAGAATCTAAATTAAACATTGGTATGAATAGCTACCATTTAGCGTCACATGCATCCCGATAGGGCCCCAAGTATACATCATTACTTCTTACAGTAACCCTCCATGGTAGAGATTATTTCCCCCATTTTACAGGTAAAATGGCTCAACACGGTTAAATAAAACATCCAAAGTCACATAGGTAGTCATGTGATGGCTAGGAGCAGAATCCACATCCTTCAGATTCCTTCTCCTACACCCACTGCCTCTCAAGAGCAGCTCCATCTCTGAAAACCTACAGTATATGCCCCCTTTCTACCCCCTTCCACCTTGCTCATCCTCTCTCTCTCCTCGAGGTACACTCTATCTCCCTGAGACCTAGCAAAATTCTTCCCAGTGATGAATCGGCTCCATGAATAATAGAGGGATTCCTTTTTCCTCTGAACTCTCATGGCCTATGTTCATTTGTTCATTTATTCATATATTTACTGAGCACCTAGTACATGCCGGACACTATGCTAGTCACTATAGCAGAGAACAAAATGGAAAATATCACTACCCTCGCAGAACTTAGGGGGAGAATAATTAGACAAAAAAAATAAATCAACAAGGTAATTGTAGATTGTAGTAAATGTTATGTAGGAGGAAAGATAACATGATAGGATAGGAAAGACTTTTTAAATAGAGTGGTCAGGAACGGTTCGAGCTCTCTGAGGAGGTAACATCAGAGTTAGGACCTGAAGGATGAGAATGAACCAGTCATGTCCAGGACCAGAGGAAGAACATTTCAGTCAAATGAAATAGCCAATGCAAAGACCCTGAGGCGAGAAAGCTCTTGATGTGCTCCAGAGAGGGAAATGCAACCTGTTGGCTGGAGCACAGTTAGCAAGAGGGAGAGTGGCATGAGATGAAGGTGCAGAGAAGAGCAGAGCCAGGTCACAGAGGGCCTTGTAAGCCTTAGGAAAGAGCCTGGGTTTTATTTAAAAGCAGTGGAATGCCATTGGAGGATTTTAAGCGAGGGAATGAAATAATCTGACTTAGATTTTTAAAAGACCATTTTGACTGTTGGGTAGATAAGGGATGGGAGAACAGGAGTAAAAGGAGAGGTTGGTTAGTGTCTACAGCAGTAGCCCAACAGAAAGAGAGATGAGGTCTTGGATGCACTTGAGAGGTGATGGCGGAGACGGAAAGAAGAGGATGGATTCGAGATGCATCCTGGAAGCAGAACAAGGTTCTTGGTGATAGACTGGATGTGAGAGTGAGAGAAGAAGTAGAATCAAAATACTTACCTATCCTATTCATTTGACCTTTATTTCCTCCTTGAGGATTTTGTGGGTTTGTTTTAATGACTATGTCTTCCCAAATATATGGACAGTTCCTAAAGGGCAGAATCTTTATCTTATAATCCCTTGCTTCCCCACAATGCCTACTTACGATAGTATTTTTTACATAGTAAATAATAAACAGTTGTTCACTGCTAGCTTGCTACTACTTTATCATTGTTCAAGATGCAATATATGTTACTTCGATATGATCGCAACCCCTGAGGAAGGAAACACACATCAGTAAATTGTAAGTATATATAACAAGACAGGAACACATTACCTCTATATTTTGTATCCAAAAGAGGTAACATAGCTACCAGACACCAAGTAGATGAAAGCTGAGAAAAAGACCCACAAAAACTAATATGTATCAGTCTTGTACCAGTGAATTCTGGGAAAGCTGTTTAAACTGCAATAATTTTAATCATAATAGCAGGCATCAAAATCCTATTAAACACAAGGTAGTCTATTAGATATACACTATCTTATTTATTTCTCACAGAAAACCCTACTGCAAGGTAGATGGGTTTTTCTCATGTAGTTTATAGATACAAAAATGGAGGTCCTAAGAGTCTGTCACATTCAAAAATTACACCACTACTAAAAGACAGAGCCACAGAACTTCCCTGGTGGCACAGTGGTTAGGAATCCGCCTGGCAATGCAGGGGACACAGGTTTGAGCCCTGGTGCAGGAAGATCCCACATGCCGCAGAGCAAATAAGCCCGTCTGCCACAACTACTGAGCCTGCGCTCTAGAGTCTGCAAGCCACAACTACTGAGCCCACGTGCCACAACTACTGAAGCCCGCACACCTAGAGCCTGTGCTCTGCAACAGACAAGCCACCACAGTGAGAAGCCTGCGCACCGCAACAAAGAGTAGCCCCTTCTCGCCACAA